ACACCTCGAAATATCATGTACAGTGTTATAAACCAATGCTACCTCAATAAAAAATACATGTAAACAAACCACAACAAGAAAGAGTTGATGTACGTAGTAATGTAGTCTGTAAGAATTTTGGTTTTCTAAGGCCAGCCAATAAAATGGATAGCCAGACCTAAAGCAAAGGCAAATATTAAAATATTGCCCATGGGCAGAATTTGGAAGGCAGCTATTTACTTTGAGGAGTTTTGAGCCACAGCTTTATTTTTATTTTTTTTTTCCCAATACCTTTCATGGTTTTCTTCTGAAATTAAAGATTAACAGCTAAGAATTTGAAAGTTCTTAGTATGTGTTACGCCTTATGGCAAGCAATAATGAACATGCATATGCCTCGTGCATCTTTATTCTTTTGTTGATTACCTCAGTTCCCCAGTGTTTCTCACTTCAGTTTCTAAGTCCTAAGCTCAGAACATTCTCCTCTAGTAGGAGTTTTTTCCACCCACTACTGCAAATTTTCAATGTAGATAAGATCTCCCCTCCGAGTGTTCTTTTCACTATCACTTACCTATAGTCTATTAGTTTCCACTGCATTGTAATCTTTATGTATTATGTCCTTCTTGAAGGGAGAGAATATGGCATTTAGAATGAGCTCCTAGACTCTAGCACTTTATGTACAATGCATTCAATAAATTTTTGTTAAATGAAGAAACAAATAAAATGAATAAATAACAAAGCCTCTACTCTACCAAGCTCACTCTAGCTGGGGCTGCAAATAGCTGACTGCTAATTAACAATAAGCCAATGTATGATAGAGATAATATCCAAATGCTGAGAGAATGTAACAAGAGCAGAGATTAATTGTGCCTTACATTTATGCCTTTTTAAAAAATGTCTGCTCTATTGTTTGTACTCAGCAGAGTGTTAAAAACTCACTGGTGAATGATCTGTGAACAAAATCTTAATTTGTTTTGAAGAATGGATTACCACATAAATCTATTAAGGGAATAAACAAATAGCATTAGACAAAGATAACACTGCTGACTGCTTACAGCAAATATATTGAGAATATCTTGACAAAGAGAATTTCCACAATATCCTAATAAAGGGAATATGGAAAAGACAAAGCTTTTGGATTATTATCAAGTTATTTTTAGTGACGAGGGTGACTAATGATGCCATATGTTGTGAATATGAAGATTTTAGAGATATCTTTGATTGGGAAGCTTCAAAAATGCTACTTAACTGAGAAAACAGTTAAAAGATTGCCTTGTTTTTAAGTGCTCAAAGAAAATTTCTGGAGGTTAATCTGCCAGAGGAATTCCTCAGTATTTGATCTCTATCTAGTATGGTCTGACATATGGACAATTACAAAGGTTTGCTACTAAGAGCTAAAAGGGGCACTAAAATAAGATGGATTATTCTTAGTGATTTTTTCTTTGTAGATTTTGGTCTTGATTTTTTTAAGTTTGTCATCACTTCTGGTCAGTTAAATATTATACCAGAATCTCCAATGTATTGTTGCATATTGTTTAAATAAAAAAAAAGGAAACTTTTATCAAAGATTTTATGCTTGCATCATACTTCTCCAGTTAGGTTATTTTGGAGATGTGCAATGCAGCAATAAAAACTAGGGCCTCTTTATGAACATCAAATTCACTCATTAGTAAAACATTTAAAAATTTTAAACAAATATTATAATATATGAAACTAAATAAGAGATCAAAGGGGTTTTACAGATACAACATGAGACTGAAACTAAAGACACAGCTTTTGATGACAGAGCTTTTCATTTTACTCAGATCCCCCTCCCAGGCATTTATGTGAAAAAGGTAGCAACCCTTTAGTAGACCAAAGTTCCAGCAGCTCTTTTCCTATCTCCCTTCCTCTTTCCACTTCCCTTCCTTGTATTCACCATTCATTTATTAATTTGCTGATTCAAAATTCAGAAAACTTTTGATAAACTCTAATCTGCCAGGTATTTTACAGTCCCTGGTGCTGTGACACAGGTAGAATTAGAACACAAGCACATCTGACTGATGCCCAAAATATCACCTACTACCCAATGTGATAAGTTTTACTAGAATCCATTTTTTTTTAAAGATTTATTTATGTATGCATACAGAGCTGGAATACAGACCAGAGTAGCAGGGTTGTGAGAAGATTCACCAGAGATAGAGTGGGGAGCAGAACAGGCAGACTGACAAAGTACACTGCTGAGGAGAGCTGTGGGCAGGTCAGGAGAGATCTGCCGTGCCATGTGGGTCACCTCTGGGACTGGGATCGAACTCATGCTGAAGAGGCTTTAGCTTATAGTGTTGTGCTTTAATCCACTGTGGCACCAGGGAGGGCCCTCTAGAATCAATTTTAATGTCTTCTTGCATCTCCATTGCTTCTCTGAAAATTTCCCCCTTACAGCATAGTTGCTTTTGCTGCTGACCTGCACTACTTCTGAGGACAATTTGATTATGGTTACTTGTGTGTCTGCTTCCTCTCACGCCAAGCATAGAAGTCTGCAGAGCAGAGGGCACCTCTCACCTCTCACCTCTTTGCACTCTCTTTCCTGTCACACTGCACCCACTCAACATACTAGGTTAGGTTGGCCCCTGTGGTGAGCCAAGCACAAAGAATCTTGTCAAGACCACATTTGGACGTTTGTAACTTTGAAGGTATATTTTGTTTGGCCTGAAATTGTAGTTTTATATTTTATGTGGCAAATTTTGCATTAATTTGCCACAAAAATAAAATGAGACACTGCCTCACTCATTTGAGAATTGCTCATGCCAACCAATCACCTAACCAACCAATCAACCAACCAACCAACCAACCAAACAAACAAATAAACAGTCAGAAATAACAAATGTTGGTTGTGTGTGAAGAAAAAATGAATCCTTGTACACTTGGTAGGAATGTAGACTACTCCAGCCCCTATATAAAAGGGTATAGAGGTGCCTCAAAATATTACAAATATTTACCATATGACCCAGTAATTTCATTCCTAACTATCTACCCAAAGAATGCAAAATCACTAATTCAAAGGGCTATATGCTCTTCAATGCTCATTGAAAGGGATGGAAACAATCTAGATGCCCATGGACAGAACAGTAGATAGAGAAGAGGTGGTTATCTCTATAGGATATAAAAACACTCAACTATAAAAATGAAAAGATAAAACCTTGCCACCTGTGACAACGTGGATGAACTGAAGGGTTTATGCTAAGTGGAACTAGTAGGAAAGAGAAAGACATACTGGGTGATTTCACTCAAATGTGGAAATATAGAGAAAATAAAATCAACACAACAAAAACTGAGCTAGAAATATAACTGCAGAACTGAGGTTACTAAAGGGGGAAGAGTGGGTGAGGGTGAGTACAAAGCTGGGATGGGACACACTGGTCCATGATAAAGGATTATAGGTGCCACAAAAATAATTTGCCACAAAAATAAAATGAGACACTGATGGTGGTGGTGTGGTAGTAGCATATGGCTGAGAAGATGTGAACTTGTTCTCCTAAATCATACACAGTGTCATAAAACAATGTTACATCGATAAAGGAAAATAATGATTTGTCATATTTATTTTATCTTAAAGTCTAGATTCTCAGCTTGTTCCTAATATTGGAACACTTGGAGACACTGATCAAGCATTCCTTCATCGTCACAACTGGTTGGAGCTTGGCAGCCATCTGCTTTAAGGAGTCCTGTTCTTTACCATTTTCTGTAGTGTCTACCACTTCTGATGTGCCATCCCATGCACTATGTTCACTAATGCTACTTGCTTCAGCCTGATCCTAATATTTGCAATTCATCGTCTATACAAGTTATAAAATTTCTTAATTTCTATATTTCCCTGGTGATTACTGTATCTACAAAAATACCAATTTAAAGGGAATAAAAATTGTGAGTAAAATGAAATCTATGAAAATGGTATCATTGCAGCTTGAATAACAGTAGATTATCCAGTCACCACTGTTATTCTCAGGTCCCTAAATTCAAGTTAAGAAAAGCAAAATATTAAGTGTAGAAAGATATTATTACATAAATATCAAAATACATACTCTAGCTGGCATGCACAATATCTCATCTCTAATGAATAATTACTGCTCAGTTCTGTTTACAACTGTCTATTGCTCTTTGCAAAGATACTTATAAGTACTTATACACAGTACTAGATGCAGAACTTATACATAGTACTATAGGGTTTTGAGTAATCATTTTACTATGAAAAAGTTTTACTAATTCCAAATTTTAATGCTTAGGTTGGAATTTAGGGACAAGGTTAAATGTATATTGTGAAACTTTATGAAAAATATTTACTAAGCAAATATACTAAATTAGAGTCATGAGTTCCCACCATTGTAAATGCATTGTAAGCAAAAGCCAAGTATTGTTTAGGTTGGTATTTTGAAATCATTTTTATGTATCTTTTAAAGCAGAATTCCCACTAGATAGTTGTTCCAGTTGCAATATTTACTTGAAAATGATAAAACATTTTGTGAAACATATTGTTTTACTCTTATTTTTCATCATCTCAGGCAGACTTTTTTTCCCAAAGTCAACAACTGACTTATACTTGATACTATTTAGTACAGGCAGTGCAGAAAAGGAGGTCACAGTTAAGAGTAAATCCCAATTAGTCACCTAAAGCTTCAATAGACTCATTCATTATATTTAAAACAAAACAAAACAAAAACAAAAACAAAAATCTATGCTTTAATAATGTGAGAGTTGGCAGCAAAACTATAAATATCAAAACATGATGAATAGTGGGTTAAGCACCTCTAAAACAAAGAGAACCACAAAACCAAGGTATCCTATTTTTTGCTTAGTCTTGTAACAAGATAAAATCAGTCTATAGTTTTATTTATCTGTTACATTAGAGGGTCACGCAACATCTCAAGATAAATGGGAAAAAAGGAAATGGCTTACCTCTCTTGATAATCATTCACAGGAAAGAGAATGTGTTTTATGGTAGAGAAAAGAACCTTAAAAAGTTAAAGCTGATAATAAAAGTGTCCTACCTGGGTAACTTTCTCTGTCACATTGTGTGTTCGATCTTTAACCTTGGGTGCAATAATGGTTTTATCAGAAGAAGGAGGAGATGTATTCTTTTTTTCAGTTTTGACATCTGAAAAATTCAGTGTGAGCTGTGGAATCTTGTTAATGGTGCTGTATTTGTTGAGGTTTGAATCCGATGTGGATCCCAGGAGGCTTGACTTGATATGATTAAAAGGCCCTAAAAAAATTGGAAAGTATTTGTAAAAGCAGTATCATGCGAAATAAAAGGAAGAGGTGGTCCTGAATGGCTTGCTACTGATTGATGACCAGTGTCACCTGGTTCAGGTGTGACTAAATGTAGCCAGCAGGTTTCAGAACACAGGGTTTAGGGCCACCAACTGCTGCATGGAGTGGTCAGTACAAAAGGAGAAGATGAGGCTTGCACCCAGAGAGTAGATGACAGCTTTCGCTGCTACTCAGTTTCTATTATGACAGGTTGGAATTAAAGAAATAACTGTATTCCCTATTGTCAGCCAAATTCCGCCTTCAAAATTTCTCAAGAATTTCTTTTTATAATCTAGGGAGTACTCAAGGAAGGACTTGTCTATGTTTAAAACCATGTTGAGCATGACATGAATAGACTGTCTACAGTAGTCCAGTTTGTATTATTCCTGCCATGTGCCACTGATCAGTAACAAATCAGCTGGGTTCTTCATATATAACATTTTCCTCACATGCTGTTCCATAGAACTTCTAGAAGAGGTAAGCCCGAATGGAAGAATTATAGACCAGGCTGAGAAGGACAAATGCTTTTTTTTTTTTTTTTTTGGTATTTATGGTATGGTATTTATTGAAGACTCAAGTGTCCTGTGTAGCATTTTAAATTCTCTTATTGTTTTTAGTCAAATTCATTTTCTCAAAACAAGAACAAAAACTTACCAGAAGAGTCTTTCACAAGCATAACCTATAATTACACTCACTATATCTAAGTAATAGCACATACTAGGGCTGATACTACTTGGTTAATAGTAATTAACTAACTACTATTAGTTAATTATCTCTACATCAGATCCCCAATGCATATTGAACTCACAACTGGATATTTGTTTCCTTTCATCAATTCTGGTCATTTTTCACACTACTTTCGACAAAGACAATTTGGCAAGGCAAAGAATGACAGCATCTTCTTGAGGACGAGTACACTGACAAGGTATGACTTGTGAGATGAATTTGTTTGCTGTTTATGGAGAGTCAGAAAATGCTTCAACGGGTTTCTTGTGTAATGGTTAATGTTACTAACCTATTATGTACTTCTTAAAAATTATCACCGAGAAGAATTTTACAGAGTCTGAGCCCACAAGTGTTATACAGTTATTATCTTTCTGCCTTAGAGAATGTTAAAACATAAAATGCCTGACTGAACTTGCTAGTCAGAACATTTTGCCGTATGCAGTTTTTTTTTTCTGGGTTTAGAATGAAAGTAACACATTTTAGGACTCAAAATATACTCTATGCACCAAGCAGATGTAAACATTTGAACATTAGATTCACAGATTATGTAATTTGGATCACAACAGTTCACAGATTATATAATTTGGATCACAACAGTTCATCAACTCAGGTCAAATATAATGCTAAAAAAATACTCATCACTTAATTTATAATTACCTTGGGGTGAAATCATACTACATATGTTTATAAAAGTTCCTATTTAAAAGTTTGAAGTGATTTTGAGTATTTTCATCTAATTAACAACTACTCTGTTTCGCGAGGTACCTCCCTCCCTGTTTGTGCTTGTGCTTTATTCATGATGATGATCAAGTCTATTTAGGTTGAAAAATGTCATTGGGTTCTCAGAAGTTATTTTACTATATGCTCTCATTTGCAAATACATTCTTATTCTCTTTTAATGGATTTGACAATGACAGAAATAAGAACTGAAAGTGTTACCACGTTAATTTAGTCTTCATAAAGCTCTCAAGCAGAAACCCCATTCTTCAGGTCTTTGTAGAAAAATTCACCACATATTCCTAATTTTATAACATTTTCTTCCTTATTTTCTGTCTTTTCTGGCTATATTCCAGAACTACCCTAATATTTAATATTTGTAAGGTATTTGGGACTTCAGACTTCATAACCTTTCGCAACTGCAGTATCACATTTTCACCATTTTTTATAAAAGATTTATTTATTTTTGCATACAGAACTGGGGGTACAAGTCAGAGGTGCAGGCGTGGTGAGAGGATTCACTAGAGACAAAGTGGGGAGTAGAACATGCAGATCCACGAAGTGACTGCTGAGGGGAGCAGCGAGTGGGTCAGGAGAGGTCTGCTGCACCATGTGGATCCCCTCCCAGGAGGGGATCAAACTCATTCTGATGTGGCTTTAGCTTCTTAGTGCTGTGCTTTAACCCTCTGTGCCACCAGGGAGGGCCCCATCTTTTCACCTTTTACGTAATTATACTGCACACAGGGTTAATGACAGGGATTAAAGAAGTCTGAAATCAGGTATTTGGTTCATTAAATTTAAAATCCTTAAGCCATCCTTCAATTCTATTTTTATAGCGTCCTGTTATGTGTTGGATTGTATTAGCAAATTGTTCAGAGTTGTTTTAAAACATTGGAAAAAACACGAATCATCTATGATGTTAATAGACTTTGATTGTCCTAGTGATCAGCTCTATTAACTCCAGTGCATTGTTGATACTGATAAGGGAGTGTGGCAATTTTGGCAGTTCTTCACCTGAGAGACACAATTGCAGGGATACTTTTGTTTATTTATATTGATGGGAGATAGCTATATTGTCACCTTGAAAGCTTGTCCTGTATAAGCATTCATACAGGTCAGAAAGCTGTTTATAATGATTGAGCCTTTAACATAGCAGCTTTACATATATGACAATACAATTTTAACATAGTTTGAGCTTTCCAGAGTTACAACTATAATATGGAAGGAAGACTTCACATTTTTCTGTTCAGAATTTTACCAAAAGTTGTACCATTCTGGAAAGTTCTCTCTTAGAGCAAGCCACATATAGCATTTGAGTTGCCAAAATGAATTTCAGATTTCAGGTTATAGTTTGTGTTTAGAATTGTCAGGTAAAAATAAGTAAGCAATGAGGTTTGGAATTATTTTTTAAATAAATAGCAGTGTTAAAACCAAATATTAAACTTGCAGGAAATTAAAAGAATTGCAGTAATATCATTGATGAATGACACTTTTTGCAAATGTTTCACATTTTGTCCACCTATGTTTGTAAAATGATGTGTGATTTAAAGGAAATTTAAATGGTAAAAATTGAACACTTGAAGCTGTCTTAGGGATTGTCTGCTGGTTTTCATCCTTACTCTATGAACTAGTTAGAGATATGCAGCAACTTCTCCATTAATATTTTATCACTTTATTTTTTTAATTTTATTTTATATTTTAAAATATTTATTTATTCATTCATACAGAACTGGGGTACAGGCCAGAGATGTGGAGGGTGAGAGGATTCACCAGAGACAGAGCCGGAGCAGAATAGTCAGATGGAGGAAGTACACTGCTGAGGGGAGCAGCCGGCGGGTCAGGAGAGGTCTGCAGGGCTTTGTGGATCTCCTCCAGGGCAGGCAGAGATCGAACTCATGCGGAAGTAGCTTTAGTTTCTTAGTGCTGTGCTTTAACCCACTGTGCCACCAGGGAGGGCCCTATTTTTTTTTAACTTATTATCTATTTCCCGTTAGTTACTAAGGTATATAGTCTGCAAGTTTTTTTCTTTTTTTTTTTAAGTAATGGAGGATAAATATCTATTCAGTTATTTAGTGGGATTTCTTTCTTATGTATAATTGTAACATTATGTGTTATCAAACAGGGAATCATTCTGACATTGCACTTAAAAGCAAGGGCCACCTCACTGGTGCAAATGTGCTTCTTCATTTTCTCCCCAGCTTGTTTCAAGATATTTCTCATAATTCAATTTTAGTTACTTCTTACCTTTAAAATTTATATATAAATAAATCAATATTTGTATTTATTCCACTAGAGGGTTTTATTTTGTTATCTTCTCATATTCCCATCCTGTGTTTTTAATCCAATACTTATATATACTGTTTTCTCATGTAGTTAATTGCTCTTAAAATCTTTTTTTCTTATTTCTATTGTACTAAATGTTCTAGTGTAACCACACTTGAATATTAACAAATTGAGAGAAATATGTCATCATTAAATTGTTTTCCTTTGATTTTTCCTGTATGTTACTATTAGGAATCATGTCAATATTTTAGAAAAAGACAAAATTATTTCCGAATGTCATTTCAGGATAGTAGAATGAGTATAACAAAACATTCATTGAAAAAAGGGGACATTAGATCTAACTGGACTGAGAAATCCTGGTCAGTACATGTCATACTCAGATTTCGTCTCAGAATGTTACAAACTCAATATTGTCCACACTTCAGCTCCTTATATTTACTGGTTTTCTGAACTGTTACTCTGTTCTGTTCTTTGTTGGTTTCAAGTTTCTCATGATAAAGATCCAAACTAAATTTTCTTTTAAATCTGTAATTTAAAAAACTCAGCAGAACTTAAAAGTATTAAGGTAATTTATGTATACTACTTAGAGAAGACATTTACAATTGATTTCCTCTTGTGTAACCAAGATCATTATGTTCTTTTCCACTGATTTTGAATCTAATGTTTATATGCAGAGTCTGTTAGTTTGCAAGATGATTACTTTATGTTAGATTCTTTTAAAACCTATCAAAATTCTAATGGAAACACTTTCAACACCTTAATCAACATAGATATTAGCAATATCTTTTGCAGACAGAATATGAATCTAAAAGGGAACAAGAATCAAGAACTAAAAATCATTATACAGGGTTTCCTACCTCCTAGGTCTATGTTCAGAGAGGCCTTTGTTGCGGATTTAAAGGTGAAAGGCAGCCTCCCTGAGATTGATCATGAACAGATGGGATTTAGGACTCTAATGAAAGAAATGAGAATAACCTGAAAAACAAAGTATATGAATTTAAATAAAATAAATGGGCAGAAATAAAGGGATATTGTAGTTTTAGTGGAAGGGTATGTGAAACTCAAAAGTAAATAGGAGGACTTGGTGGTACTTAGCAACCATTTCCAAAAATGGATGACCAGGTTAAATTACCAATATAATAAGAGAAGATGGAAAACAGGTAAGCAAGTAAAGAAGATCAACAAAATTCTAATATGCTATAAGTGTGTAATTAAATATAAAGTAGGCCAAGTTCCAACCACAAAGAAATACCCTGCATTTAGACATCAAACTAGTGGCTAAACTAACACCTGGGAAGAATTTTAGGTTTTTATGATGAGCCTATTTAAATTTATCAGGAATTACAAGAAGCTAAAGGAGACTGTATTCTCTTTTAGATGGTGCTGGAAATAAAGCTAAGGATATCCGATAGAATTCTTTTTTGAATGCTAGTTAAAAAAAGATCATAGTTCTTGAGGGCTAAGTTGGACAGAAAGAAGGAAACCAAAATGAAAACAAAAACTAATGTTATTTTCAAATCACTAGGTCTTTATATACTATTTCTGACTTTGATTATTCACTTATCATTCAAAGGCTAATACTGTTAATATTGGGGCATTAAAGAAAAAAATAAGGTAGATGTTAAATGGTCTCTGTATGAAGCAAAAATACAAATATTGTAGTGCAAATGACAAATATGAGTAGTACTAGTTTGAGAGATAAGTTCAATTTTCTATTTATTGAGAAAAATTAAATACATTTTCACTATATTTAAAAGATCCCTGGAAAACTAATATCTACTATTTACTTCTAATTGTTAAATGCTACAGCCAGTCATACTTCTCACAGCCAAAGTGGTAAGAATGTTGGTATTCTGTTTCTTGACATTGTGTTCTGAATTATATCAATTCAAATCACCAGTTGCAACTGACACTAATTTGTTCCCTTTTAGAAACTAGTCTTCAAGCTAAGGACAAAAAAATCACATTGATAAAATCCAACCCCACCTGTACAGACCTTTTGGAACTGCATTCAAAATGAAATTGGGAGAAGGAGAAGTTGCTATAATTTCCTTATTTTCAAATGACTCTGGGCATCTAACAAGAAAACATCTGTCGTTTCTATTGCTATTAATTCATAACCATCTCCAGCTCTGAATTAATCAGGAAAGTTACTGAGAAACCAATATACAGAACTTCACAGTGATCAGAGTAGCAGTGACATATGGAAGAGGCCAAAACAGTGGGTTCTAAATAATGATGGTTACTCGTAGAGATGTTTCCATGCAACACACATGCACAAAAATGCGTCATTGTCACCGTGTGCATACCCACAGCAGCATGCACGGCCTATAGGAAGAGATTAAGCCCCAAAAGTTTTCAATTTGAAGAGAATACCATGATTATTGTATTTTGTGATTCCTTGTGTCTACTACAGTGTAGTAGAAAAATAAAAGCAAATTTCAAATTTTTAGCCACATCTAGATTTGTCCAGAGGTTAACCCAGTTAAACATTGTCCTACAGTAGCTGTAGGTCATGCCAGTGATTTCAGACTAATATAGGACACAAGTAAAAAATGACTGAAATGTAATATAGAAAAATAGAAAACGACTATCATGCATGTACAGTTTACTACTACAGTAAGCTTAAAACCATACCCCCTGCCATCCAGGAACGTGACACTAGTTTTAGGGAAACAAAAGAGGAACAAGTGAAGTGATACTGTCATGTAGCACTTTGTTCATTTTATTTATATCTTGTAATTAGAAAAAGCTTTTGGATGAAATAGGCTTACGTGCCTCTTTCACATTGGAATATATTTAACTTGGTGTTTTTTTTTTTTCTTTCCAATAATTTATATATTTACAAAGTGTTCATGTCAACCTAGGCTGATACTTCTTGCAGGCACAAAGGAGTTCAGAGTATTTTGGTGACACTGCTGGGAAAGCAGTGATGTCACCCAGCAAAATCGAGCCGTGATGTCTCCACCAGGCACCTGGACTAGCTACGGGCAGCAGGATGTGGCACTGGACAGGGCATACAGCAGGCAAGTTAACATGCCGAGTCAAGGGGCGCTCTGAGCAGCGGGTGATACAACTGAGTTCATACATTACCTTTGACATTGCGACCATTGTCTGTTTTGAGCACAAAAGGATACAAAAAAGAGAGAAATATAAAAAGAAAACTAAAATTATGTTATAGACATGTTATATTTTACACTGAATTATCTGTGTAAAAACAATCAGAGAAAGCAATGTAATGAGGGAAAATTTAATTGAAATGAACATTTTGTATTATTGAACCAAGTAAAATACATGTCCTAAAAGTAATTATTTGCTATCATAAGAATTCATGTTCAAATATGTGAAACACTTATCTCAATTTTAGTGGATTCCAAGATACAAATGTTATCACTATGGCAGTTGCAGAAAGATATACCCCAGCAGCCTGCAGTTGTGATAAAACTTTCAACTTTGTCAGAAATAATTTTAGTTCTTTTATCCATCACTTACAATATCCTCAGAGAGACTACAACAGTTTGTGTATTTTTGTATTGTTTAACCTAGTATATTAATAAGGAAAAACCCTTCTAAAACAATGGTTTATTTTAACAAGCTAACTTGTGTTACGAATCACAAAATTATTAGCTGACCCTCTTGCAAACTGTCTTCAATGCATATTTTGAAATACCAATTTATACTTATAAAATCATTGTTAGGCAGAAATAATTGCAAGAAATCAGTGAAAGATTTGACTGTTTAAATGCTATGTAATATATTTACTTGCTGTTAAATGTACATAACAGAATTTCTCAATTTATAACTTGTGTTGTCACAATGCACTGATTACAATGTCTATTATCTAGAATAGTTAGGAAATTCATTTATTTTAAAAGGGGCTGCTTTGCATCTCAGAAATGAATGTTTTCAGATTTACTTTAAGATTAGCAATCTGATTCTTTGTTGCATATTGGCGACTAACAAAATATGCATTATTAGTTTTGAAAAAAACATGCTTAAAATAAAGGAAGTCATGTCAGACCCATTCAAATATATCCCAGATTTGAAAGATCTGTTCAACATCTGTTGAAGTCTTTGCTATGCATATCTAAAATCTTGGGATATATCATAATTGTTCCAAAGCTGAAAACTGAAGCAATCTTCAGTAGTGTGGTATGTAGAATTGTGAGTGGAGACATTGCCTCAGAGATACACCAAGTTGTGACCTTCGTTGGAGACTCTTGCTCTTTGAGGGATCAAAAAGAGCAAACAGGGTGAGTGGAAGAGAACTTGACTACAGAGATTTGATTATCTGCATCAACAAAAGAGTCCAAAAATCTTATGTAAAATAGCAATCATTTGCATATAGTTAAAAATTATAACTCTACTCACCAAACCTGGAAATTATGTATAAGCTCTGTAAACATAAAGAAAGCTAACCAAAAATTACACTATAGAGTTAATGCTGCTTTTATATTTTAAAGCTCTGTTGTTAGCTGAGATCTGTTACCTATTCTTCCATGGCAATATAAATTCAGAAGTTTTTAATTTTGCAGCAATTTGACAGTGCAGGTTTACATCTATTGAATGTAATATGACAACTAGGGTTTATATTTTATATGTCTCTTTCTAAAATATAATTTTAGTAGAACATTTTTAATTTTATTTTCAAATAAGTCAGTCCCTGAGGGTGAAAAAAAAAATTCTAGTCCTTCACAACAAATGGTTGAGAAGTATAGGTAGGTGCTAGATAATGCAGATTAAGTGAAAAGACAATGTAAAATGTGTGCACTAGCATATTTCCACAGGGTCTACATTTCTCTCACGATAGCTTATAAAGTAGGAAATTTCTCTTTTTGAAAGAGGAGACAATAAGCTAAATTCAAAATCTGGTGCATGTGAGATTTAACTTGCTAACCAATTATAAAGATTCATAAAACAAACATTAATGTCTTTGTTATTATTTTAAAAATATTTTTTAAAGGGCAGGTTTTTAGGAAAAGGGGAGAGAAAAGGAAAGGCACCTGCAGGGTCACAGGTGGGCAGGGGAGCCGCTGCTGCTGCTTTGCAAAGAATAAAGGTTTGTGAAAAGAAGCACCTGCAATGTCAGAGGGTGGAAGGAGAGCTCTAAGTCTCATTTTTTTTTCTTCCCTTATTAGTGACTCAATTTCTGAAATGTATCAACTTATGTAGCTGTAGACAGTATAGTTCCTGTAATACTAATCAGTGATTTTGCAGCTAGTATTGTCTTAAAGCTGATGTCCAATGTCCTCCCATGAATGGATCGAACTACAGCCAGCTGTTGATTGTAGCACAAACAGGAAAGTGATACATTTTCTGAAATTTATAGCCCCAGGTGTGGTGAGAAGAGAAAATTGAAAATGATCTTAATAGGAAGAATCCATGGATAGTATCTGTACTAAGAGATACAAGCAAATCTATTAAATAATTCTTTCCCATACTTGGCTCAATAGTTTTAGACTAACTGAAGAACATATAAAGTTGAAAACAATAAAGTTAAATCATGATATCAAATCTATCCACTTTAGTACCACTGTCAAAATACAGACTAAGTGTACCGATCATTAATTATGAGCCATTCAAATTTATTGTCTGTCAATTTTACTGTATAGATTTAGGAAATAAAGTTAGAGGCCAATATGGCAGGCTAACCCCCATGCTCTTCACTTGAATTACCATATTGGTTTTATTGTTGCTTAGATATACAATTCATTGCTCAAAGATCAAACTTCAGAGGCTTTATTTAGTCAAATTTATGCAGAAGACATTGAGAATGCTTTGAGTCTTCGATGATTGCTCTGGTTGGAAATTGTCCTTGATTATACTTTCCTTTTGAACACTGGACTACAGATTTAAAAGGGATATGCTAGTTGTTGTACCATATACAGTTTCTTGAAACTATTTTAAGATCTGTTCCTTCTGTTTCTGCAGTACTGGTTTATCTTAATTTTTTCCCTTCTTAATTCATTTTCTTTCACCTCGTCCTCCTTTCTTACTGTGTCCTTTAAAGAATCTGCCACATGATTCAATCCTAAAATCTTGGTTTAAATTTCAGAGTATCTGAGCAGCTAATTCATTTCCTAATGCATGTCTGGAACATAATTCACAATATGGTCCTCTCAGTATCACATCAACATTTGTTGAGACCTTACCATGAAATAGAGAATTGTTCTGGGCACAAAGCCTACAGAGCTAACTACACCGATACTCCTGTGCTATATAAGCTCACAGCAAGATAATTTACTTGCATCTAATGTAAATGACAAGCATATAACACAGATAAATGTAGACTTTACTACATGGTATAAAATGTGTAAATATTGTTTTGCACATTCAGGTATGAAAGCATTAATTCTTCTCGTTTGGGAAGGCAGTGAGTAATAGTGTTTGAAGGCAGAACTGAGGGAAGAATTTTCCTGGCAGAACAAAGTAATAAAACAAGAAACACATGATACATTTTTAGAAATAGGCAATTAGCTTTATGTAGCTTAAATTTTTATAATAGAGGAGTAACTCTTGCAGAAGCTCTTGAGACTTGAAAAAAAATGGAGGGTATCTTACGAATTGCCTACTACCCTACAAAAAGAATGGTCATGTTCAGATTTATGTTTTAAAAAGAAAACTAGCAACATGGGTAAAATCTGCAGGAATGAGTCCCATTGAAAGGACAGCAGCCTCTCAAGAACTTCCCAAGTGATTCAAAAAAGTAGGACTTATGTGTCCACAAAATGTACTCTGACTCAGGTCCTTGGAGAAATTCAGGGCCCCAACATACCCTGTCAGAGCAAGACTTCATGGCATTCGAGGGAGAGGGGAAAAAAACAACATCAACAATAGTGCATGGAGAAATTACAAACTTTGGAGGCAGGCAGTCCTAGGTTTAAAGGTAAGGTCTGGAACTGTCATGTAATCTTGAGCCAGTTGTTAATAAACCTGTTTTCTCATCTATAAATGGGGCTGGAGAATAGTTTTTTCATTCATAGGATTGTTATGAGAATTAAGTGAGAGTTAGTGTTGTTAAGTACCTATATTGCCTCAAACATAGCAAATACACAACAGATGTTATCTGCTATGTGTTAATGATAAATTGTTTTTGTCACTGCCTTAAGCAATCCTACTTTCAATATGGGATAATAGAAGAATGTGAACTTAAAGGGGAAAGAGAGAAATGACTGAATGCTGACACAGCTTTTCAAGATGGTTGGGGTTGAAGTCAAGACTTTCAGGGTTCTTTTTCTCCTAAAGCTTCCCGCTCTCCCTTTACCAATCAATTTATAGCCTCTGGTCATTCAGTGCATCACATTTCCTATGGCTCTTATTTTGGAAAGTGCTGGTCAATAATATTGCTCTGTGGTAACACTAGGACTGTCCAGGGCTTCACTGTTTGTTAAGTGCAGCAAAATTAATTATGCTTGAGATGATAAGCACATCTTATAATAAGCATTAATTAATTAACACTTCATAAAGTAGGCAGAAACACCAACAACGTCCAAGAAACCATATTATTAACTATGATTTAAAGGGGAAGTGAGTGACAAGACTCAGATTTTTAATGACTACTCACATTTCCTTCGCTAAGGCACAGTGTCCAATTAAAAAAACAAAAACAAACAAACAAAAAACAATATGGAAAGTACCTTTTATCCCCCATTATTATGAGCTATCATATTTGAAGAAAACAAACGTACCTTCACTGGCATGTCGGTCTCTAAATACGTTCTTGGGGTGGATGCTGAATCCTTCAATGTCATGAACTGAAGAAGCCCTCCGTATGCTACAAAGGCTTTCCTTTGACCTGGAATGAGTCAGCTGGGAACTTGACTGCAGCATGTCAGGGTACAGTCTGTCCCATTGCCTTTTGGGAGAGGAATGGTCAAGAGGTCCAGATATATTCACCAGGGGAGAACATTTGCTGGACTGTATCAAGGCTTTTGTATCATCTGCTTCAGAGGGGCTGCAGCTTTCTTTTGTAGGAGACTTAAAGTGCTTCATGGCTACCGAATCATCACTATGTTTAGAGGAATCGATTACTACCACGTCGGGGTCTTCTTGAGGTAAAGATTGCTTTCTGTAAGTGAGAACACGCAGGCCAGGGAACTTGAACCCAAAAAGTTTCCCTACAGATGAAAACAGGAAAGAGCATTATTCCAAGACAAAGAATAAATCACATAAAAAACCAATACAAACCCATACGTATTGTTGACTCATTTAACCCCCATGTATGAGTTACTAAATAATATTTAAGTTATTTATACTTAAATCCATTACAGTTGGGATAATGTAGAATTCTTCTCTGAGACAGTACATTAGATAGATGAGAAGTTATGTGCATGATGGAATACCACTCAGCTATAACAAAGAGATGAATTTCTGACACTGATGGAATTGGAGGGGATTAAGTGAAATAAGTCAGAAAGAGAATGACAAATAACAGCTATTTCACTCATATGGAGAAAACAAAGAAATAAAACAAAAGAACTGTCAATACTGAACCAAAATAAACTCTAGAAATACTGAAGAATTAAGGTTTCTTGAGAGGAAGGCAGAGTGGGAGGGTGGAGACAAAGAGAGAAAGGGGTCCAGTGTGTAAAGTAAAGTAATAGATGGTGGGTGTGGTGTGGCGGCATACATCTGAAGAGGAGTTGCCTTTTCTCTTCACTCATTCACAGTGCTTTAAAGCAATGTAATTTCAGTAAAAAAGAGGTTAAAAAAAAGAAAACTACTCTGAGACCAATGTGAATTATCACATAACTAGTAACAAAGTAAAATAAGGTAACTATATATCTTATTTTTGTTTTAGAAATGAAAGAGGACATTTTATTTTAAAGACTTATTTATTTGCTTGAGATAACACTAGGATATTCCCCACCAGGTATCATCACTGAGTGCAGCACCTACCTCTAAATCATACATGCTTCTTATGGTGACATGAAGGCATTATTTTGATGAGTTTTCTTTTTTAAAACAAATTAAAACACATACAGTTACTTCAAGTTTAAAAAGGAATGAAAGTCATCTGGGAAAGAGATATACCTTAATGTATACAGTGAAAAATTAATACAAAACATTGTAGAAAGAAAAATTTTAATCTAATTGTGTTATTTCACTTCCTGAGTATCATTGCAATGTATTCACCTCTCATCTTCATTGCCCTCACTTTTCTCCAATCTATTATCATGGTGCACCTGACTTTTTGCAACATGATATTAATCAGTTTCTACAAATGCATCATATAGTCCACTCCTTGAAAAAAATAATAATTAAAAAAAATCACTTCTGACCATTTAGACTATTATACTCTTCCACTGCTTCTAATAGCTTTCTTTTTTGATATAACACTTTCCACTCTGAAGCTTCATTTCCTTCCTGTATCCAGTCATACAGATTTTTTTTTTAATTGAAGTAACAGTGGTTTTCAGTGCTTTCAGGTGTATAGTCATAAATCAACATCGTATATATTACATTATGTTTGCCACCAGGAGACTAGTTTCCATTGATCACTTAGATGGATCCATCACATACATCACCAGTGACTCCTTATATCAGATTTTACTCACCATTTCCTTCTAATAACCACTATTTTGTTATTACATTCAAAATGTTTGCTTTTCTTATGTTTTGCTTACTTTTTTTTAACTGTTATATATGGATGAAATTAGATGGTATTTGTCTTTCTTTGACTTATTTCACTAGGCATAACACCCACTGGGTCTATCCATGTTATTGTAAATGGCAAAGTTTTATCTTTTAGCTAAGTAGTATTCTGCTGTGTATAACACACCTTCTTAGCCCACAGATCTGCTATTGAGTACGTAAGTTGCTTCTAGGACTTAAATATTATAAGGAGCTTTCTGATGAACAAGGAGTTGCATGTATCTCTTAGGATAAGTGTTTTTATATTCTTAAGGTAAACTTCCAGAACTGGGATAGCTAGATCATATGATTTCAGTATTTTTAAATTTATGAGGATATCTATACTGTTTTCCAGAGCAGCTAGCAATTTACATTCCAACCAACAGAGGACAAATTCTTTTGTTTCCATTTTTTCACTCATATAATTTTTTAAACAGCCATTCTCATGTTGTCTGAGGTGATATGTCATTGTTTTTATTTAAATATGATCTCTATAATTCTTGTGGAGGCTAATGTTACTTACAGATCTAGGGCTTCCTTTTACTTTATACTTTTTACTCTTCCCATTAGAACATTTTTAGGTTTAGTTCAATTGTTATTTCCTTAGGGAAGATTTTCATTTCTTATGAACAAGATTAGCATCATTTTCATTATCTTAAATTCTAGTTTTTGCATTTGTTAATTTGTTTATTAAGATTTATCTCCCAGGGCCCTCCTGGTGGCACAGTGGGTTAAAGTGTAGCACTATGAAGCAGGCCACATTGGCTTCAGCACAAGCTCGAACCCCAACCAGGGAGGAGACCCACATGGCACAGACCTCTTCTGTCTTGCCTGCTGCTCCCCTCAGCAGTTTACTTGGTAGATCTGCCTGTTCTGCTCCCCACTCTGCCTCCAGTAGATCCTCTCACTTCCCCTGCACCTCTGGCCTGTACCCCAGTTCTGAATGCATAATAAATCTAAAAAAGAAAAAAAGATTTCTCTCTCCTAGTGGACCATAGGCCTCATAAAGACAGGGTAGATTTATTTTTTTGCCATGAAATATCAGCTCTGACAGCACACCTGATCATGGTAAATAAATTTCTATGAACAGATGAATTTATAATGCACTTCCATTTTGACTTTGGAAAAAATGAGACAATTTCATTGCTCTATTTTAATTAGAAAATTTTATCCTCTTGACATTGTATTGACCCATATTTACCAAAAAATGATTGATGGATTAGAACGCAGTGGCTCCTGGAAATGGCAAAATCTACCTTGCCCCAGATAACTGATAGCTTTTCATTAATTTCACCTCTTTCTAAAGGTTATTTACTACTACTTTTCTGATTCTAGAGCATACATGATATATTTTCAAACTATTCATTACCTAGTAAAAATATCTATTACAGAAAATTTTAGAATTAAGTGGGTTAATTCACTAATTTAAGCTTCAATTTGTGGGAAAGTAGTTAACAATGTTAAAATATAATTGAAATAGAATTCATCTTTCTGGTAAAGATATGATACAAACTACAGATTAAACTGCAAGTACATTCAGCATTAAACTCTTGATTAATAAATGTAGATGCAAGTAACCAATATGTGAAAATAAGATTAAATAGCAATGCATCATGCTAACTGTATGTAAGCATCCTTACATAATTTTACTAACAACTTTTATATGCTCAAGTAAATTGCCAAGCTAAAAATTGGTGAACTGCATCAAAGTCATTTGATTGGTTTTTAATACATATGGAATTGAGTTATAAAGCAGTTTACAAATCAATTTTGCTAGCTTATTACAATACACTGAAGGTCAATGCCTGCTTTTATTCATTTTTCATCAGTCACATTACCCTCCTCCTTTAAAAACAATTCACTGCTTTTCTTAAATTAATGACCACACAAGGCATTTAGTTTTCTCCTATAGTTTAATCATATCCAAGGTGGTACAGATGGTCTTTTCTGCATCACTAGGTTAATATGACCATGTTATATTGCATTACAGATTTAGTTGTCTAACAGCAGCTCACCCGGAAAGAATACACATGGAGAATTTAGCTCAATGCTAGCAACTTCAAGCATGAAATATAAAACACAGATGAGTATAATCCTGTTGTGACCCTTAACATTGAAAACAGCCTTGTAAGTTAAGACTATAAATCTGTAAATTAACTATATTTACTATTTAAATTAAATAATTTTAGTAGCTATATTCAGCCTTTTACCCATTAAAATTTTCAATAAATCTGAAATAGCAACAAAATCTGTTTTTACACCTTTTTTTTGCCCATTCCAGAAAAAGAACTGTTAAATACCAATAAAGTACTTAGATGAACAAAATTTGTTAAATTATAATTTTCATTGAAGATAATGTATCATTTGTAACATACAATATCTTATAATAATAAACTACTGTAATCTTTTCATCAGTTTGTGTCATTTTTGTGTTGTAGTTGAATATAAACTTGGTTGTTACATCTTTATGTATCTTGTGTCATATTTAACTATGCATTTTTTACTTTTCAACCAGGAAGACAGCTACTCATTCTTTTTGCAAGGCTATAATTATAACTCCAATTTGTATATGCCAAAATGTTAAATACTTGGTCAAGTAGGATATCAAGTAAAGTTAGAAAAAATCAGCAGTTTTAATGATTTAACATAAGTTTTACCCAAGATTCGGTGTTTTTGTGTGCTATGAATATTCACATGAGAATCTAGTAAGAATGATTTTCTCTCTAAATAATAATAGATGAATACTCACTTATAACTTTAACAAATCCTCTTTTCCAACTAAAGCCCTTCCATTGACATTACTTAGAATGCCTTAGGAGTACCTGATGCGTAATATTCCTTCCGGCTTTGAGCTTATTTGGTTACATACTGTGCTAACTACATAGCTCATAAAATTATAATTATCATATCTTCATTTTTACCCTACTTTGTAGGGCAATAGGATCTTAGAAAAAAATTTACTGAGCTCCAAATTCTGAAGACTTTATCAATCTGAACTGTTATTCTCCACCCCCACCCACTACTCTTCTCTTTCTTTCAGACCTGGTGCTTATTTAATAAAGTTTGAAAGAAAATTATTATGTGAATTTGTCCTCAAACAGATTTTTTAATTTAGGAATATACCTAAGAATATAAGAAACAATAGCATTTCCTGCAGAATAACAAAAATTTCTGAAATTTCTTCTATTTATTCCTAATCATTGAAGTTTCTCCTGACAAAACTACAAATTCTCAGTCACTTCCTTGGTTCAGTTTCTTGTCATTCCTACAAACTCTTGGAACTTGGAATATCTAATAATTTTACTATTAAAGTTACTACCACATAAATTAGAAGTAGTACTGTGCTGGGGGATTGCTGTGATGTATTATGGAGTGAAAAAATAGAAAGAAACTTAAATTTGAGCACTTATGCAAATGAGAGGTAACAGTCCAGTCAGGAGAGGGTGGGGAAGCACAGTGCTGAGCGTTGTGCAGACTATAGCAG